AATTTAAATATTAAAAAAATTAGTAAAAATCTTCACAGGCAAATTTGCCTGTGTTACAATTTAAGGGATAAGATTTTATTTAATTTTGAATTAAATAAATATCAACAACCTATTTGTCAATGGTGGTTGTATAAACTTAAAATGACCAGGCAATATCTTGTTAGATGGGATGTTCATATTTCTTTTGCCCAGTTTTTCATTGAGCAACTTAAAAATGCAAAAAATGTTTCTAAAACATATTTGCATAAATAGAAAATCTTCTTGAGTAGCTTATGGATAAGCAAATTAATCTTCAATTGTAGTGTCTTGTTAAATTCGGACAAGAATTTTATGAACCTATTTATAAGTTCATAAATGGTTATAATCCAATTCTACGAATTTATAAAGAAAATAAAAAGGTAACACTTCCACCAGGAAATCGTGCTCACGAAATGCCAGATAAAATGTTAATCTGGATTAAAGACCTTCAAGACTGCCTAGATAATATTTATGAGCTATTTGGCAAAGAATTGGCTGATGCTGAGGATGAATTAAATACTACAGATTTTGAAAATTTTTGTAAATTATTACATAATGGTGTAGAAAATGCATTAAACGGTTTTATTAAGTGGATGGAAACTTGGGCTCACTTACCATTATGTATCTGTCGATTAGGTGGAGAAAATGTGCCTGAATTTGCTCGCGCATTCTTAAAAGTATTTTTTTCCTAGAGCTCTTCAAGAGAACAATCTATAACAGAGAGTTCATATATTGAAAGTTTAAAATTAGACTTATCTAATGGACGTACAACAACATTTGGATTGTTAGAAGAGCTAAACCATCCAGACTTCTTCGAAGAATTTAAGGCTTTTGCAAATTCTGACATAATGGAGCCAGAAAAATTTCCTCTTGTATATGAATTTCTTAAATTTCGTATTTGGAATATTGTAATACATCAACAACAGTTAGAGGGTCTATTTAATCGTTACGATATGAAAATTCATCCAAATATAAATATTCATTTACAAGAATCCTGAATTCAACTTAGTGGATTAGATGGTGGGATTCAAGAAATTTCTCGGAGTGATTTGCAAAATATTCGCCAAAACACTAAAAATTCAGTATCAAATAAGCTATTGGAAAATCATATTGAAACTTCCAAAAAAGAAAAGGCATATGAAGTTCTTAATAATTTTCTTCTGTGGAAACATAAAAAATAAAAATATACAATTAGTAATATAGTATATATTAATGGAATTGAGCTCTTTATATTCAGAAAAGTAGTCGTCATATAAGTGAAAGAAATGTAAAATCTGCAAAAATTAATTTATTAATTATCATTTTATCGAATTCAGCCTCAAAAAAATCTGATATAATCAATAAATATAATACCTTTTTTTCGTAATAAATCCGCTTAATAGCTCATCATTGAAACACTAGTTGTATAAATTTCAATCATATATAATCATTATGAGATAATTTTTCACGATCTGAGTTTAATAAAATGAAAGTTAGTAAATTAATATTACGGTATTATACTCACGTCATTTACATGCAACAAAGAGAATACTTATACTAACATAACTGTTCTTACAACGGGTCTTACTATATTATCATTACATGGTCTAATATTTATTATTTTAATAGCTAACTAGAGAAATAAAAGCTGTAGTTTTTTCTGACAATTAAATGGATTAGTATAAAGCTAAGTATAATATATTATCTTATTACAGTAAATAACATGTTAAAAATTTTCTCATATTAGTCACATTAGGTCTGTAAATCCTGAAAAATAAATATATAAGTTGTATTCTATAATTAAATATTACACTTGTGGTAGTGAAATTTTTTTTAAACCGACTTATCTGTTATACTGAAGACGAAAAAGTGAAGAAATCCAAAAAGGTATTTTACACAATAGGAAAATGCTTAAATAGAATTTCGACATTGTCACTTTGTAAAAACATATCTTATAAATTGATAGCTTTTAAAACTTTACAAAATATTAAATACTGAAAGAGAAATTGAGAACGCTGTGAAGCGCATTTTTCATAAGCGTTAATTAGAGATGCAGATAATTTTATTATAAAAAATCTTGATTAGTGATCTTTACTATGCCGCTAGCACTATATTTGTAATTATACATATGATTGACACCCCACTGGCTGAGGGTTATTGTCCTCGCTGAGGGTTATTATCCCTCGTTGAGGGTTATCAGCCACATGTTAATCCTCTTCTAAAATAAGAACTGCAAGGGAAAATATAATAATAATAAAAATAAAACGGAATATGCATAAAAAATATTGATAATAATATACTACGAATAATAAAAAAAGAAATTTTTCGCATAACACCGGGCTTATGAAAGCCCGGACCGATCCGGCCGACCCGCCCGATTCCGGACTCTAAGAACAAGCTTAAGTGTTGTAATTTGTTTTTGGTGCGACAACAGAATTCTCTTGACTCCTTCACTAGCATAGCGGAAGTTTGTTTTGATTGGCTGTTATTAGGATAAATATGATTGGCGATGATCTTTTTTTATATAGTCAATTGTAATTTTTAAAGTACTTTTAATAGTAAAAATCGTCGTGTCATATGAAACTTTTTTTTTGTAATACAAAACGTAACAACCAACTTGAGTCGTTGGTAGTTTACCTTTAAACTTATTGTTTTTTAACCTGAGATGCAATAAGATGCAATAGTTTCAAAAACTAGATGAGAGGTGACGGAAGGTCTAAACAATTGGTGAGTTGAAATTGAAAGATTCGTTTCAACTAGTTTGTTTGTGTTTTTTACAAGTAAAAGTATTATGTTGAACTATTATTCTAAACCATAATTTAATATTTTTGATTATAATTTATTTAGATACAAGTATACTTTATGGATATGACGTTTATAATACAATAAGTCAGTGTTGTCAATTGGACAGTTTTGGACAACTTTTTATATGTCCAAAACTATTAAAATTGTTGTAAACTGTCCAATTGACAACACTGCAATAAGTGATAGTAATGGTAGTGTTAGGAATGGTCGCGTATGCGTTATTTAGTAGACATTTATATGTATTTATTGCGAAAAAAATAACAAAACCCTTGTAAAATCCAAATTAAAGTCGTTACTATAAAACTGAATTAGTATATTGTAAATTTATAGTGTCTTTAGAGTGTATTGACTAATTTTTTAAAAGTTCACGAGTTATAAAATTTTTGTCCGGGATTATATCCGGGATATGATCGACATTTTTTCTGGGTATCTTAACAACCAATCAAACTGAACTTCTGCTATATTTTTGTGTTTTTTGATTTTTTGACTTCTTCAGATTGATCTGTGTAAACAAATTTCATAATTTTGATTGGTTGATCTACATATAAAAAGTCACGTGGGTACAAGGCTTTAGCAAACCCCCAATCTGGAATCCGGCTATCCCAATTAAGAATCGGAATAACCTAATTTAGAATCCTTATATGGGTTAGCCGGAACGAAGAATGTTGGTCGATACTCGATTGAAGCCTGCGTATATACAATTGATTGAAAATAAATGATCGATCGCGATTTAAATTAAACGTTCGCAGTTGCAAAAATGTGTATAGTTAGTCAACAGAAGGAAACGTTGAAGTTACACAACTGATTTTTCACACGGTGTGAGACATATAAAAAATTATTTTACAATACTTGATCAGACTTGGTCAGTCAGCTAGTACATGTTATGATTATAATCTAGCATCATTTTTTTATAATAAAAAATGATGTTGGATTATAATCGTAACATGTACTAGCTGACTGACCAAGTCTGATCAAGTATCGTATAATAATTTTTTTATGTGTTTCACACCATGTGAAAAATCAGTTGTGTAACTTCAACATTTCCTCCTGTTTAGTTAGTCATATAAGAGCAAAGCAAATGATGGTTTTTATATTATGATGCAATTAATTAAAAGTTTAATTTTATTATAAATAAAAAAATCAAATATGGTTAGTGTTTTTTTTTATTTTTTTAAACAAAAAAAAAAATAACAATCAAATAAACTTACTCAATAGAGCAAGTCTCTAAGATACACAGTTCACTATTTATCTCTTTACTGATTATTCAATGTCAAATATTATGTATAGAGAAGCAGATTTTTCTTTTTTTTCTCATGCCACCTTTGATCAACTAGTATCAGAGTTATTATCAAACTGTAATCCAAAGCAACAAGCTATTATTACACAAGAAGACTATGATTTAATTATTAAGGTTCTAAAAAATCTTACAAATACATTTAATAGAACAGCAAAAAACTGTTTCTGGACAAAAAATAGTTTTTACTTATGTAATCTTGGCTTAAAGTTAGTAAATAAGGTTTATTTTTTATTTCAAATTATATGTTTGCAGTGTTGTATAATTTTATTGTCTGTGTGGCTAACAATGGAAATCTGATTTTAAGCATAGTTTAGTAAATACTGTACTTAAAACATGTTTTAGTTAATAATGCTGTTCAAATATCATACAATGCATCTTTAATAAAGATAGCTTATACTGAACAACTAAACATGCTTGGATTGATGCAATATTCATATGCTAGCAAATAATTAATACTACATACAAAAGTAATTTTCAATCTGGGTAACCCATATAAGAATTCTAAATCGGATTACCCCAATTCTTAATTGGGATAGTCAGATTCCAGAATGGGCAGATTCCAATCCGGGTACACATATATATCTCATGTCATCATCTGAGGCCAAGCCTATTTGTAAAAATTATTAATTTCTAGAATTATACATAATTTGAATTTTTCTTAGAATTAAAGAATTTGTATTAGTTATAATTTTATTTTAAAATTCAATTTCGATTTTAAAATGTTTTACCTGTTGGTTAATTTGGTGTAAGGTTTGCTACATGTGTTCTAGCAATATTTTTTATAGCATTTGTTATATCTTCACCAGATTCTATATTTAATTCTAATTTAATATATCTTTTTTATAGCATGCAATATCTAAAAAAGAAGAAATATATTATAATATTATTCAAATTACAAAATAGATAGAGTAAGATATACTTGTGCATAATGTGAATCAATTGCTGTTTCAGTCTATCTGGCTTTAAGAAATATTCATTTGTGAGGATGTATATTATATTATTCATGCTACATACTTATTATTATTATTAATTTTGTGCAAAGATAGTGCCTGACAATATAGAAACTCATTTTGGCTTTCTTTCTATTGTTTGTGTGCAAAAAGGAGATAGTAAACCATGCATTTTGCTATATATTATTTGATCAATAATCAAATACATGAACATTTAGCTATTGTAATATAATATCTTTTTGATAAATCAAGATACTATACAAGGTCCAACCCTATTTGCTATAAAAATCTTTTTTGGTTTCACATGCTATCCTTGATTGAATTCTTATTTTATAATCAACAATAAATATTACACTATCAATATCTAATTCGTCTAAACATACTTAAACTTGCTTATTTAGATATGTTTTTTGTATATAATGTATTATTTAGATGATTATTTTTTTTGTATATATTTATTACTTTGTGAAATTCTAATGAAAGATTCATTTTTAATTTTTGAAAAATTAAAATAAAGCTTTACATTGTTTACAAGTATTTGGATAAGACATTTTGTAGTTATCAAATGCATTACTTAAACAATAGCTTATACAAGAATTATAAAGTGCTTCACTAATTAAATTTAATGTAAACTTTTTAGAATATTCTTGGTATATATATTAATATAAATCTTGTAGTTCATGAATTAATAAATTCTAAAAAAAACAAAAAAAAAAAAAAACAAAATTTTTACAGTATATTATTTTATTTTTTACTTTTAATATATCATTATCAATATATGCAGAAATTAAACTATTAATATTATTAATAACCTCATAACCACAAAAATTACAACTTGTACAAAGTTCTCCAAGATTATCTTGAAAAAAAAAGCAGGTTTTTTCTAATCAAGTTATAAATACAGTTTTATATATTCTATTAGAATATTGTTTATGAAATTGATTTCAAAGTGCTGTTTTGTGATCTTGCAAATATAATATAGGTAAGCCTGAAGTAGAATCACTTTAATATGAACTTATATTAACATTTTTCTTATTAGTAAAAAAAAGTTCAAACTAATTTATTATTTCTGATTTAAACTTGAGTCATTTAATAATTGGTTTCTCAATTGCTAGTGCACCAAATCTATTAATTTTTGCATATTTACGAAATTTGTTAATAGTATAATAACCTACCTATATAAAAAAAAATTAATATTTTTTTTTCCTTAATAACAAGTATTTATACAACTTATATTTAAATTTCTTTCTAATTCTGCATAGATGAAATCACACGCTATAATTGATAATATACAACATTTTTCATCAAAGTTTTTTATTATATTTTAAAACTCAATTAAAACTAAACCAAAATGTTTATATTGTATTAGGCATATAAATAGGAATACTGTTAAGTAATCCCAATTTATAGAGATTTTGAATAATTATTTTATCTATCTAAGTACTTTTCGATTTACTTCATAATTGATACTTTTGATACTTTAAAAATTAGTAATAATAAAGGTATATCATAATATGAGAGTGAGTCAGTAAAAAAGGGACAAATTGAAAAATTTTTCAAAATTGAGATTTTACACTTAATATATTGATTAAAATATTTAAAACATTTTTTACTTAATA